CCCCAAAACCCCAAAACCCCAAAACCCCAAAACCCCACAGTAAAAGAGTCAAATTGATGGAGATAATTTTGAAAACTTTGATAATGGCGAAATCCTTATCTCTTGACTACCTCAAGATCCATTGTCATTGCTTCTTGTAAGTTATACCCATGGTGTTTGGCCATTGGGGCTACTTCACAGAGAGCTTTGAACTGCTCTTGAGTGTATTTCTTGAAGAATCCTCTTATTGACTTGTAAAGACAGATCTTATAAAAGAAGTCTCTATTGGCCTCTTCATCATCTTTATCCCACCTTTGGTCGTTGGCAGCAAGGAACTTTAGCATTTTAGGACACCGTTTAGAGTTGTTCTCCCAATCGATAAAGTGTTGGTCGAAATTCCCATTAAGGTCTTTCTTATCCGCATGATCTTCATCTTGGCCACAAACATATCACCAAAGAATATTTCATTTATCACAAGTCATTTTGTTGCAAGCGCCATTTTTGAGTCCTCCATTATTGCACTTGGGACATACTCTTTGAGATCCTTCAATCAAAGCATCTATCCAGTCTTCTTTCATTTGCATATACTTGAATCATTCAGAATGAACTAATATTTCTCTGTCTAGGTGAGCAGTCCTGCTCCTCGTCATGATACCACTTGGGGATACCTAAAGGTTATACATTAGTTCTTACCTGCAGGATTTGATCTCAAACTAGACATATTCCTTTTCTGCATTCATTATTTTGGCAATAAAAGAAGGTTGAGTAATTGTCAATTCTCCAAATCTCAAAATACTCTCAGTATTGGCAATGCACAACCTTGTGCAGTTTTGAGTCAAGCTTATTTAGAGTATAATACTTTTCATAGATAACCCTTTGCTCATAAGATAAATACCTCTCAACTTGTTTCATATCAATCTCAGTTTTACAGAAGCATCATTTAGCAGGAACCTGTGTCTCAGGTTTACTCAACATACTCTCAATAAACCCCACACCTCAATCCCCACACAAATAATGCTCATTACATCACAAAATCCCAAAATTCCCATCCTCTGCCACTTCTCCACACACACAACAAACCACCTCTCTCCTAAAATCCTGCTGCATAAAATAACTATTCCACCGACTCCTCCCAAACCGGGGTTTTGGGGTTTTGGGGTTTTGGGGTTTTGGGG